GTTCAACGACGACTGCGGCGGGAGAAGAGGCTCGCGCATCGGTCGCGCGTGTCTTATATATCCTCGGCTCGGGTGATTACGCGATGTTCTAGAATCGTCTTCTTTCCCCTCCCACACCACCACCCCGATGTGTCGATAGGAGGGTACGAATGATATTGTTTGGAAAGTAATAATGATTCTACAAGTTCCTACCGTCAAATAAAAAACGCGAATGGTTTTCCGCGCAACCAGTTTACATATTTGTTGACTTACAACTATTACACTTATCATTTTATTTCTTAATTCCTACAGCTTTTTCTTAATTCTATTTTTATTTTTATAAGTCTAATGTCAATATATACCTACTATTTTTAACGTCTTATTTCTAACATTGTTCATTGCTATTTCTTAATTATTCTTATATTTATTGTTTGTACATCAGTAAGAACTTAAATCTATAGTTTTGACATTTGCAATTTTGCCACATCTTACAATTATGTATTTGTCAGGATTGGTGAATTTTTCTCAAATTTCTAATTTTATACATCCTTCTATATTTTACTCACGCTTTCCTAGGCAATATAATATATATACTAAATTTATATATATATATTGACCATTTCTTTTACTAATTTTTATTTCATACGGTTTTTTCTTTTGTTTTTTGTTTGTGTTGTGATTCATGTAAGTGTTACTGTGCTGATATAATCGTGTATATTCAATATACATTCTGTATATCAGTTTGTGTTCGTGTATTTCATGCTTGTGTGTGTAGTGTTGTGTTCCTGTGTGCTTTTGTGGCTGTTTGAATGTGTAGTGCAATTTGTCATAAAAGATTCAGGCGTAGGCCGTGTTTGCGCGAGCCAGGTAGTCCCACTTTTTTTCGCACCGGGCATTCAGCACTAAATGCATTATGGTCGGTCCTCCGCAACCCAGAGTGTGAGCAGTTGCAGCACTGTGGTTCATTACCTGCGGTAAAATCTGCGCATTTCTCGCGCAGATGCGGTCCTCCACAGTGACTACATCTGTCCACACTCTCGGTGCAAAATTTCCGACCATGTCCATATGCAAGGCATTTCGTGCATTGGATGAGCGGAGACTGGTCCTCGACTCTGACCCTTTGTAGGTCTAGATAGAGGGCTCCAGCCTCCGTCATCCTCTGCCAAACATTAGGCTTCACTTGCAGTATAATATGCACCGTCTTCGGATTTCTTGTCCGCTTTTTGAATTTTATTGTCATTTCTATATCCTCTTCAGTAAGACCAATAAAAACATCTTTATTCTGGGCGTATAGCGCCTTAATTATGTCTTCGTCTTCGCTGTCTATAAAAACGTCTTTCAAGATGACGAGGGGATCCTTATTTTTTATAGGAGCTACTATTAATCCATCCCCGCGACTCTCTATTATTTTTTGAACTTTCTTACTCTCCTCTTCAGTATCGCAACCCAATATAATTTTTTGGTTCTTGGCCTTGCGAACCTTGTTAATTTTAAGTCCAGTGCCTCTAGCGTCGACCGCTTTTTTCACTCTGGCGAGCACCTCGTCAGCAGTCTCCAGACCACCTTCGAGGGTGACCGCCATTGAGTGAAGTGCAGGGCGGTAGGCAGGTCTGGCTGCTACGACGCTGGCGTATGACTTTAGGACTGGTGCTGTGTTTATTTCGCATGCCAGTCCTTTTGTGACCTCCATAAGATCTTTTTTGGCTGCCGTGACATCATCGGCAATACCACCGATCAGATCTTTAATCAGGGCGTGCGTTCGACTCTCGACCTTCTTGATCGTTTGGTCTATGGCAGCCCTGGTTTCATCGATCCTATCGGTGATCTTGTCGATCATGTCAGAGCCTCGGTCGTCGTTACCGTTATGGAGTCCCTCTATGTCTTTTTTTCAGACTTTGTTCCAACTCGTTTATGCGCCCTGCAAGTTTCGCTTCCACCTCTCCCAGTTTCTTAATGATACTATCTTGCCTTTCGGGTGCCAAGGTTTTTGTTTGTGAATCTATTTTTGGGGCGTCTGCTTCGAGGCTCTGTATACGTCGGCTGAGCTCGAAGATTGCTCTTATGCCCTTATCCGACTGCACCTCCAGGAAATGTTTGATATCTTTCCTCATCTGAGGGTACTCCTGAACCTTTGAGGGTATATCCTCAAAGGTTTTCATCATTTCCTGGAGGAGCTGATCGCTCGACAATGCAGCGTAATTATGTTTCTGCTTTTTGTAGATGTCCATGTTGTCGAGCGATCTTCTTTTGGCTTCAGGTCTTTTAATAAAGGTCCTGGCAGCGTCCTGTGCTGCTGCGGTTGTGGTGGTAGGGCTGGGGGTGGTGGGCTTTATGGCAGCGCCAGAGGTCGTGGGTGTGCGGTACATGATTATTGTGTGAATGTGTATGAGTGCGGTGTATAGTGTAAGTGTTTGTATATGGATCAGGGAAAGTTGTCCGTATGTAAAATATTTACTAGACCCTGTAAAGGGGGGTCTGTATGTAAAGTATTTGCTAGACCCTGTAAAGGGGGGTCTGTGTCACGTATGAAATAAAATTAGTCAATAAAATAAAATAATATAGAGTCCAGCTCTACCAATGTCTCTGTATGACTATGTAGAGTCTCTTTATAAACAGTACTGTTAATAGAGTAAGAACAAGAGTATAATAAAACAAAAGTAAAACAAAATTATTAAAACAATCTACTTGGCTCTACCAAGAGTCTGGTTTTAATTTCTATCTCAATATTTATATCTATTTCAATATTAAAAATGTAAAAAGTTTCTTTAAAATAATTTCCTTAAAACTCTACTTTTCTCTACGTAGAGTCGTCTCTATTCCAATCTTACTCTATACTTAAGTTAAACCGTATTGGTTATTAATTTCTAAATTAGTATTAAGTAAAATGCAGAAAACAAAAACACAAAAATATTTAAAGTGCTCTACATAGAGTCCTTCCCCCCCTGATTTGTTAACTCTTTAATTGTGTTATTTTTTGCAAAAAACCCGGTCCGAATCGGTGCACTAGTTACTTTGTTATGTCGATTTTAAATTTTTCATCCCCCAGAGACTAAGTCCAGGAGTCAACTTAGGGGTAGGGGGTTGAAATTCAGCCCAAATGATCCGCTGGGGGGCTGAAGACTATCCGGCTTCTGGATAGTGTGGGGGGGGGGTGACGGGGGGGGGGCCCCGAAAAAATTGTCAAAATTGAGCTAGGAGGCTCCGTTTCCCTGAAAACTGAAAACACAGTTATCGTGCGGTTTTCAGGATCTCCCAGCTCACACAAATAAATTTATAGCTCTAAAACGACTTATCCGAAAATTCTGATAAAATTTATATAGATATAGTATTAGTTGCTGTATTAAAAATTGCAATTAGTAAATTTTTATTCCTGAAAAATTTTTAAGTTTTAAAATTTTGAAAATTGTGTTACGAAAACCAACAACCGCAAAAAGCCTCTAATTTGTGAACTGTTTATGTAAAAATTTTGAAATAATTCTGGGATGATATATAAAGGTTAAGAAATATTCCCTAATTTTTTCAGAATTTTCAGGAGTGTTTTTCAGGGCCCACGTGTTTTTGACAATTTTTAAAATTTATCTTAAAATTATTAATTACACTCCAAAATTAAAAATGTTTACACAATTTGTTAAAACTTAAGTTCCTCTTTTAATTAAATTCAATATATATATATGTCGTCACTGAAAAACCAGAGTAATTCACCTTTGAATGTCCCTCCTGAAAGTCGGTATCTTCAAGGCGTGGTATCTCCGGTGTTTCTGGTCCGATTTTAATGATCGAGGTGTCGGATGATTTACCTCGATGCCCTCTTTGATTACGCGATGTTAAACTCAGCCGCACGGCCTCCAATCAAAAACCACGTGTCCACGTGGTTTTTGTTTTCCGAAAATATTTCGGTGCGCTGAAGTCGAAAATTTCCGATGAGTGGCTTAAACTGTTAAGCTCATCAGGGCGCTTCTTTATGCACTATAAAAACTATATGTTTACGATCTTGATCGAGCAGCGTTTAACTTTAATGAAATTTTAAGGTTATAAAACCAGTTTTTTCGTGATAATTTTAAAACTATAACACTTTTGTCACTTTTTTATTATATTTCCGTCTTCGTCTCGACGAGACGCGTCTAACGGTGTATAACACTTAAAGATTGGTGCACTTTGACTCGACACTTTGAATTTTCGAGCGCGGAGCGATATAAAAATGCTGCGTACGGCACGGCGTTTGGAGTGCAACTGGGTTAGGTTAGGTTAGGTTAGGTTAGGTTAGGTTAGGTTAGGTTAGGTTAGGTTAGGTTAGGTTAGGTTAGGTTAGGTTAGGTTAGGTTAGGTTAGGTTAGGTTCCCGTGTGGAGTTGCCAGTCCTCCCATCGGGCGCGTCCCCAGGTGGCGGATAGGGGAATGCCACTCAGATATGAGTGGTAGCGGGAAACCGTCGCGGACCAAAACTGGCTGGGTTTGGGCGTACCTGTGGTTCCGAATGGAATCATAGGTACGAGGTACTTTTGTTGCTTCCCGTATCCTCTCCATTGAGAGGAACAGAGAATGTGACATGCGCGGTGAGATGCCAGGTGCACTCAGCTTTTGCCGACGCCGGGCAGCGCGTCAGCGCGGGATTTTCAGGGACTACATCCTGAAAAAAAAAAGGAAATTGAATGGGCTCAGGGTTCCCTCACCCGGTCTCTGGGCAGGCATGGGAAGAACCTGTATCGACTCTGCCACCGTTCGAACCTCGGAATCCCTTTGGCGTGTCGTGGATCATGTCTCGCGGCGCCTGAGGGGCCGAGGGCTCTTGGCTTAATCGCCTGGAATCGCGAGGATGATAACCTCTATAAAAAATCACCCGAAGCTCAAGCGTGGCACGCCGTGAGGAGCTGCATGGCTGATGGGTAAATGTTCAGTCGTTAGCGTTGCCCCCCGTCAGGGTACCGGCCGACACCCTTGACGGGTTATGCATAGGCTTATCCGGGCAAAGGGGGGCTCTGCTCGGATGGACCGTTACTTCCTCCACACTCGTGGGAAAAAAAAATGGAAAAATATAAAAATTATAAAACATCAGAAGGAGATAAGCAGGCTGGATCGGAATCAGATGCAAGCCTATGTAGCGATGTATCAAGGACAGCTTCTAAGTCCGGAGGTCGCTCCCGTGGGGCGAAAAAGAGACGTATTACAAAATCAATATCGTCCAGCGACAATGAAGCTTTTTTAAAAGAGACGAATTCTGAGACAGGAAAAGAGGTGACACCATTAATGGATAATTCTGGAGAGTTCGTAGTGCCAGGGCCTGAGGAAGCTCTTAGTATGGCTGAGAGGCAAGTGGAACAAATGGTTTGTGCTGCAAATCAAAAACGAACTGCCCTGGGGCTACCTAATTTAGTCGGAGATGACAGCCGTTCGGCAATGGCTCTCAACCAACAGGTTCTCGACGATGTCGGAGTCATACTGATGGTAGCAGCCAAGTCGAGAAATCTGAAAGGCACATTTCAACGTGCCTTAAAGGATGCTGCCACGTCAATAAAAACAGTCGTGGAGGTCCTACATAAGAGGTCAGTGAATGAAGAAACGGCGAAATTGCAGGCTGAAAACACCTGCCTGCGCAGTGAAATAGAGGAGCTTCGTAAAGAGCTATCTGAAATCCGGCTTGAAATGGCGAGGATCAATAAAACACCTGCTCCACCAACTCCTCAGGTGCGAGGAGACAAGGAAAGTGAGGAATTGATAAGTTCCATTATGCGCCAAGTTGGTGACATGATGAATGCGCGATTGGAGGCGCTTGAGGAGCGGCTTCTCCCAGAAAAGCGTGTCCGCCCTCCGCTGGCTGCTGATGTGCGCAGAGATGTAGTAAATGATGCAGACATACTACGGCGGAAGTCTGATACAATTACGAAGGCTGACAAATACGCCGTAAAAACAAGAATAGGCAACAAGAAAATTCCGACGCTGGAAATACAAAGAGGAAACAGAAAGGGAAAGGGACACGAAGGGAGAACAACAGAAATGGCAACCAACCAGCCAACAGAATCACGCCCTCAACCTCCTGAGTCCACGGAAGAAGGATGGACCACAGTAGTGAGAAGAGGTAAAAAACGCAAGGCAGGAACCGTCAATCCTTCCAAGAGACCAGCATCTGTGAAACTGCGCTCCCCAAAATCCGCGGCTGTAGTTATAACACTGCAGCCCGGAGCTGAAGATCGTGGCCTCACTTATGCAAAGGTGCTGACAGAGGCTAGAAAGAAGATCGACCTTGCTAGCCTCGGTATCGAATCTCTGCGGTACCGACAGGCGGCCACTGGAGCCCGCATTTTAGAGATACCAGGAGCAACGAGCGGCGATAAAGCTGACTCCTTGGCTAAGATATTAAAGGAGTCGTTGCCTGAGGAGGTGGCTAGAGTATCTAGACCAACTAAATGTGCAGAGATGCGCATCTCTGGCCTGGACGACTCTATAACTACAGAGGAAGTTGTTGCTGCCATTGCACAGCAAGGGGAATGTCCTGCAGAAATGGTGAAAGTAGGCGAAATCCGCAGTACAAGCTCTGGCACTGGTACTATCTGGGTGAGCTGCCCGGTACCTGCAGCCAAGAAAGTTGAAGGGGGCGGGCGTCTTTTGATCGGATGGGTGGCAGCACAGGTGAAAATATTGCCACATAGACCATTACGGTGCTATAAGTGTCTGCATAGTGGACATGTGCGCGCGCAGTGCACTTCAGATGTGGACCGTAGTAATGACTGCTACCGATGTGGCCAGACTGGCCATAAGTCAGCGAAGTGCACGGCTGCGCCAAAATGTTCCCTGTGTATTGCAGCAAACAGGCCGGCTGACCACGTACTGGGGAGCAAGAGGTGCTCGCCTCCAAAACAAAGAAGAAAGGGCGTTATAGTGGGTGAAAGGACCCCGCCTACGCAACCTCAAATGGAGGAGGCGATGGCAGTCCAGTAACATGATGGCTGAAAATTGTAATTATCGTCTCCTTCAGGCCAACATCAACCACTGTGCCGGCGCACAGGATTTGCTTTTGCAGAGCATGGCACAGTGGATGATTGAAGTAGCGGTGGTCGGCGAGCCATACTTCGTCGCTTCCAGGAACAACTGGGTAGGTGACATCGATGGCTTAGTGGCCATCATATCGTCGACGGCTGCAGGCGTCCCACCTTCCACAATAGTTGCGAGAGGTAACGGATATGTGGCGATTCTGTGGAGGGAAATAATTCTCATTGGGGTATACTTCTCTCCAAACAGATGCCTTGCCGAATTTGAGACATTCTTGAGCGATTTGGGGGGCTCTTATTGGTCAAAACCTACCTCGCCCAGTACTTGTCATGGGAGACCTTAACGCTAAATCTACTGTCTGGGGTTCTCCTATGACTGATGCGCGTGGCGAGGCACTAGAGGACTGGGTGACTATAACGGGCCTAACAGTGCTGAATCAGGGATCGGTCTACACATGCGTGCGGAGACAGGAAGGATCTATCGTAGACGTCTCGTTTGCATCCCCTGCCACAGCAAGCCGCGTTCATGGCTGGAGAGTTTTGGAGAACGTGGAAACGTTGTCGGACCATCGTTACATTCGTTTCGATGTCTCCACTTCTCCAGAGACTCCGAGCGTCGGTCGTCCGGTCAGAAGGCATATCCCATCATTAACCAAAAGATGGGTATTGAGAAGTATGAGTAGAGATGCTGTCATTGAAGCCTCTATTGTCCAATCGTGGCTGTCCCCACCAAATGGGCCTGTAGAGGTTGAGACGGAGACAACTTGGTTTCAGGATGCTATGACACACATCTGTGACGCAAGCATGCCCCGCGCCAAACACCCACCTCCTAGGCGCCAGGTGTACTGGTGGTCTGTAGAGATAGCAGTTTTACGCACTAACTGTGTGAAAGCGAGGCGCCTGTACGCCAGATATCGCAGAAGACGGCTTCGTAACGATACTGTAGAAGAACAGCTATACGAAAAGTATAGAGAATGCCGGAAAATTCTGCAGCTGTCCATTCGCGAGGCTAAGACACGCTCAAGAGAGGAGCTCTTAGAGACCCTCAACCAAGATCCATGGGGACGTCCGTATAAGATGGTCAGGGGCAAACTTCGATCTTGGGCGCCTCCACTCACGGAGAGTCTCCAACCTCAATTTGTTAAGGATGTGGTGAACGTGCTATTTCCAGATCGGGCGCAGTGGTTACCACCAGCAATGGCCTCTGTACAGGAGATGGAAGAAGGACAGAATGAGGTGCCACGAGTGTCGCAGGAGGAACTTGGTGCGGCAGTCTTAAAACTCCGAGCAAAAAAAAACAAAGCTCCAGGTCCCGACGGCATTCCTGGCCGCGCCTGGGTTTTAGCCCTCAAGGAACTAGGGGAACGATTCCGCAGGCTACTTGATGCCTGTCTGGAGATGGGACGGTTCCCACTACAGTGGAAAACGGGCAGGCTAGTCCTTCTGAAGAAGGATGGGCGCCCCGCCGACTCTCCCTCCGCCTACCGCCCTGTAGTATTGCTCGATGAAGCAGATAAGCTCTTCGAGCGAATAATAGCCCGTCGTCTTATCGGGCATCTCGAAGAGATGGGTCCCGATTTGTCAGACCAGCAGTTTGGCTTTCGAATGGGTCGGTCAACGATAGACGCTATTAAATGCGTCAAGGCCCATTCGGACGAGATTTTAGCAAGGGGTGGGGTTTTATTGGCAGTGTCTATAGATATTGCCAACGCTTTCAACACCATGCCCTGGGAGTGCATCAGCGAGGCACTGAAGTACCACAAGGTGCCTCCCTATCTCAGACGAATAATCGGGAGCTATCTCTCTGAGCGATGTGTCTGCTATCCTGGGCGGGAAGGCAGGATATTAAGGAGAGTAATGTCGTGCGGCGTTCCACAAGGCTCGGTTTTAGGACCGCTTCTTTGGAACGTCGGTTATGACTGGGTGTTGCGGGGAGACCTTCCCCCCGGGTGCTGGCATAATCTGCTATGCAGACGATACTCTGGTCACTGTCCGGGCGGAGACCTATGAGGTAGCCGTTCGTATTGCCACTACGTCAGTGGCACTGGTTGTTGGCAGAATTAGGATGTTGGGGTTGGAAGTGGCGTTAAGCAAGTCCCAGGCCATCTGCTTTCACAGGCCTCGAAAAGCACCGCCACAGGGATCCCACATCATTGTCAGTGATGTCCGTATTCAGGTTGGGTCCAATATGAGGTACCTTGGACTCATCCTGGATAGCCGTTGGAGCTTCCGCGAGCACTTTAGGTGCTTGGCCCCCGGCTAATGAGAGCAACAGCTGCCTTAAAAAGGTTGCTACCCAACGTCGGAGGGCCCGATGCGAATTGCCGCCGTCTCTATTTGGGGGTGGTTCGGTCCATGGCTTTATATGGGGCCCCTATATGGGCTGGGGCTCTGACGGAAAGAACCATCGCCTTCCTGAGACGGCCCCAGAGGGCGATGGCCGTCGGAGTCGTGCGAGGATACCGGACGATCTCCTTTGAGGCGGCATGCGTTTTGGCGGCGTCCCCACCCTGGGATATAGAGGCGGAGTTCCTTGCGTCTATGTACGATTGGCGCTTGGAACTTCGACACCGAGGATGTCCCCCCTCTCCCAGAGAGTGGCAATTGCGAAAGCTCCACACTCGGCAACAGGTGCTTGAAAAGTGGAAGGAGCGTCTAGCCCACCCGAAGGCAGGAAGCAGAACTGTCGATGCTGTTCTTCCGGTCATGTTAGACTGGACAAACAGGCGACATGGGTCACTGACCTTCCGGCTGGTGCAGGTGCTTTCCGGGCATGGGTGCTTCGGTAAGTATCTGTGCCGTATAGCCGGAAGAGAGCCGACAACTGAGTGCCATCACTGTGGTAGCGACGAGGACACGGCGCAGCATACCCTTGAGGTTTGCCCGGCTTGGGCTGACTTGCGTCGGGACCTCGTGGCTGTAGTGGGGGATGACCTCTCGCTCCCAGCTTTTATTAAAGCTATGGTTGGATGCGAGAGGGCGTGGAGTGCTGGGGTAACATTTTGCGAAAAAGTGATGTCACAAAAGGAAGTTGCGGAGAGGGAGAGGGAAAAGACGGCAACAATCCCAATCCGCAGCCGGAGAGCTGGGCGCCGGAGAAGAGCATATCAGGCTCTCTTCCACCCCCCCGTAATTGAGGCTTAGGGGGCGGACACAGGGGGCTGTCCGTCACCTATTATGCAGGGCCTCGAGGTGGCGCGTACGGTGTGATGGTACGCCCCTCCAAGAAGAAGTCGTCGAGTCGGAGCCTGTAAGGGCTGTTGCCGTCGGGATTGCGGTAGTATGCGAAAGCGTTCCCGTAGCCCTGACAAAAGGTGATGAGATGTAAACAGTGGGGTTTTAGCCGGTAGGAGTCCGGCATAACCTGTCTGACGCCTACACGACAGACGGGTATCCATGAGGATTTCCCCACGTAAAAAAAAAAAAAAAAAAGGTTAGGTTAGGTTAGGTTAGGTTAGGTTAGGTTAGGTTAGGTTAGGTTAGGTTAGGTTAGGTTTTTTTTTTTTTTTTTTTTTTTTTTAAGCTTTTCCCCCGATCATGGGATCATCGGGTCCTTATTAATCTATATTACTCATACATTCCAGTTCTCGCATATATTCACACTTTCAGGCCGCATACTTAATCTTTCTTTTATCCATCCACGCTCATTCTTTGCCGGGTGGGACTCCCGCTACTCTATGCTTATTTTTAATTTATTCGGGAAAATAAGGTTCTTACACTTTATTTTATTTTCTGTTTAGTTACAATATTATTTATACTTAGCATCTTATAATTTCTACATGCTTATTTTTATTCAATTTACAAATTTCCTAATTTTACATATTTATTAACTTACAACTATTGTACTTTCTTTTAACTATTTTACTTATCATTATATTTCTTAGTTCCTACGTTTCATATTTCTTAGTTCTATTTTTAAATTTATAGATCTAACTTCATTATATACCTAATATTCTCTATTGTCTTATTTCTAACATTCTATTACAGTTTCTTAATTCTATACTTATAATTGTTATTTGTACAACAGTAAGAACATAATATGTTTTTATAATCATTAATTTGCAGTTTACAATTTTACCAGATCTTTACAGTAGTACATTCAGCAGGATTAGTGAGTTTCTGCTTTGTTGCATGTATTTTGTGCTTTCTTTTATATTTTTTTAAAAACGCTTTTATCTAGGCAATAACATATATATAATAACTTATACATATTTATTGTCCATTTCTTTTTCCAATTTCATTTCGTACTGTTTTTTCTTTTGTTTTGTGTTACTGTTTGTGGTGTATGTATGTGTTCCTGTGCTGATATAATCGTGTATATATTTAATATACATTCTGTATATCAGTTGTGTTCGTTTTGCCATGTATTTCGTGTTTGTATGTGTCGTGTTTATGTTTCTGTGTGCTTTGTGGTTGTGTGTACGTGTTATGTGATGTCCTGCGTATGGATCAGGCATAGGCTGTGTTTGCACGAGCCAGGTAGTCCCACTTTTTGCGTACCGGGCAGTCAGCACTAAACGCATTATGGTCGGTCTTCCGCAACCCAGAGTGTGAGCAATTGCAGCACTGAGGTTCATTACCTGCGGTAAAGTCTGCGCATTTCTCGCGCAGATGCGGTCCTCCACAGTGACTACATTTGTCCACACTCTCGGTGCAAAATTTCCGACCATGGCCGAATGCGAGGCACTTCGTGCATTGGATGAGCGGAGACTGGTCCTCGACTCTGACCCTTTGAAGGTCCAGATAGAGGGCTCCAGCTTCCGTCATCCTCTGCCATACGTTAGGCTTCACCTGTAAGATTATGTGCAATGTCTTAGGATTTCGTGTGCGTTTTTTAAATTTTACCACCATTTCCTTATCTTCTTCTGGTAGGCCCACGAAAATGTCCTTATTTTGAGCGTAGAGCGCCTTAATCATATCATCGTCTTCGCTATCCAAAAACACATCTTTAAGGACAACGAGAGGATTTTTATTTTTCATAGGCGCTACTTTCAGTCCATCTCCGCGACTCTCTATAATTTCTTGGACTTTTTTCATCTCCTCTTCTGTGTCGCAACCCAATATTACCGTTTGGTTCTTGGCCTTACGAACCTTGTTAATTTTAAGGCCAGTGCCTCTAGCGTCGACCGCTTTTTTCACCCTGGCGAGCACCTCGTCAGCAGTCTCCAGACCACTTTCGAAAGTGACCGCCATCGAGTGAAGTGCGGGGCGGTGGGCTGGTTTGGCTGCTACGACGCTGGCGTATGTCTTAGGGACTGGGGCTATATTTATTCCGCATGCCAGTCCTTTTGCAACCTCGATGAGTTCTTTTTTGGCTGCGACGACATCATCGGCAATACCACCGACCAGATCTTTAAAGAGAGCCTGCGTTCGACTCTCGGCCTTTTCGACCGTTTGGTCTACAGCAGCTCTGGTCTCGTCGATCCTGTCGATGATCTTGTCGATCATGTCGGAGCCTCGGTCATCGTTGCTGTTATTGAGTCCTTTTATGTCCGTTTTCAGACTTCGCTCCATCTCATCTATGCGCTCGGTCAGTGCCGCTTCCACCTCTCCCATTTTCCTGAGGATGACATCCTGCCCATTGGACGACGAGATTCTTATAGGTGTCCCTGTTGTTGGGACCTCTGCTTCGAGGCTTTGGATACGCCTACTGAGCTCGAAAATTGCTCGTATGCCTTTATCTGACTGCGCCTCCAGGAAATGTTTTATGTCTCTCCTCATCTGAGGGTACTCCTTGACTTTCGAGGGTATATCCTCGAAGGTTTTCATTATTTCCTGGAGGAGCTGATCACTGGGTAATGCAGCGTAGTTCTCTTGCTGCTTTTTGTATACGTCCATGTTATCGAGTGACCTTCTTTTGGCGTCTGGTCTTTTGATAAAGGTCCTAGCGGCATCCTGCGCTGCTGCGGTTATGGTAGCAGGGCTAGGAGTGGTGGGCTTTTTGGCAGCGCCAGAGGTCGTGGGTGTGCGGTACATGATTATTGTGTGAATGTGTATGAGTACGGTGTATAGTATAAGTTGTTGTATATGGATCAGGGAAAGTTGTCCGTATGTAAAACCCTGTAAAGGGGGGGTCTGTGTGTAAAATATGTGTTAGACCCTGTAAAGGGGGGTCTGTGTCACTTATAAAATAAAAACTAGTCAAAATAAAATAATAAAATAAGGTAGAGTTCAGCTCTACCAAGTTATTTTTACCGTTACAAAGGTAAAAGGGCTTGAGCTAGGGCTTGGGAGCCTTCAGGAGCCAATTTTAGTCAAAATTATAATTCAAAGAAAGTCAAAAAATTTTTTGAAGTGATTGCAGTGATAGATCTCTCCGAGCCCCTTCGTTTGAACCCAAACACGACTGTGCCAGCCCTAGGGGTCCCGCAGAAACGGCAGTCCAAACTTCTGGTCACCAATCCAAGATGGCCACCAGAATCCGGTTACAAGCGGTTTCTCCGTGACCACCCGTCCGAAACCTGCCGTGCTTGGGGTCTTCCGACCCGGCTCGATGAGCTCTATAACTTGGTGAGGGTTAAAACTGAAAAAATTTTCAGGCCCTGAAAACTCCTGAAGGGTTACTAGGGGAATAGGGGGAGGTGCTGCCTTAGCCCCCAGAGAAAACCAGAGCCTTCCACGACCTCCGGTTCGGATACTATCAGCGTCTGAAGTTTGGTTTGACAGTTCAAGAACTGTCAAATCAATCTTCGACCCCGGACAATTTTCCTTCCAGTGGTCGTAGAACACCCGTGTTTGTGCTCAATTGGCTTGTTTTGACTCGCTCTATCGTTTCAGGTGCTGTTCGAGGACCCAAAACCCCTCGGCACCAAAACGCATGAAAAGGAGTTAGGCGGATGGAGACCGTCACCCTGAACTCCACTTAGAAAACCCCAACTCGCTACGACTCCTAGATCGTTAATTATGTCAAATTTAAAATTTTCAAAATGGCCGCCAATTCAGACAACTATAAGTTATTTCAGGCGGCTCTCAACCAATTTGGACCGTGTTTGGGCTCATTTAAAAGGTCTCGGTGTCAAGAGAACAGATAATTAAGTGTGTTGGCGTTTTAAGACCCCTTTGTATTAATTTTTGACAAAAGTTTTGAAATTTTTTACGAAATTTTGATTTTTATAGCCAATTTTAGCTTTAAAATTCTACGAAAATTTCTGTACAATACTACAGGTATCCTTAATTTATATACATATTTTTATACCTAAAAAACGTTATAATGGGGTAACACGTGGTTAACAAATTTATTTAAAAAATCCTAATTAAAAAACTATCCACAATAAAAATCTGAAAATTTTTATATAACTTTCTAATATTAACCTAAACACTATTTAATTATAAAAACTAGGTGTCATCGATTTAGATTTTAAAATATTTAATTTTGAAATTTTTACTAAATTTAAAAGTTCAATATTTCCTCAGCCACTTAACTTATTAAAACTCCGAGACTTGCTTCCGGCTCCTCTTCACGCTGGCAACCAGAATGCGACTCCAGAAATAGCCGCACGATTCTCCTTCTCGAAACACGTGCCCACGTGGCACTTGTTTTTTTGCCTTTTTCTCCGAGATTATAGCTCGGAAAATTTTCAAATTCCCCACCTTTGTAGGGGCCGTGAATAGCTTCAGGGCCACACTTTAAAAAACTGGGGTAATCGTGCTTAATCACTCAGCGTTTCACTTTTAAGTTTTGCAATTTTTCAAATTTCACTTTTTTCACTTTAAGTTTTCCAATTTCACTCCGATTTTCAACCAGTTTACACGACTATAAGGCGCAAGTTAAGCCGCATCTTTTGGTATATAGCACGCGAAAATCGGACGTAAAAAACCTATTTTAACGTATTTTTAATCGCGGAGCAACACAGAAACGTGGCGTTCGGATCGGCCGTTGACACCGGACTCGGTTAGGTTAGGTTAGGTTAGGTTAGGTTAGGTTAGGTTAGGTTAGGTTAGGTTAGGTTAGGTTAGGTTAGGTTAGGTTAGGTTAGGTTAGGTTAGGTTAGGTTAGGTTAGGTTAGGTTAGGTTAGGTTAGGTTAGGTTAGGTTAGGTTAGGTTAGGTTAGGTTAGGTTAGGTTAGGTTAGGTTAGGTTAGGTTAGGTTAGGTTAGGTTAGGTTAGGTTAGGTTAGGTTAGGTTAGGTTAGGTTAGGTTAGGTTAGGTTAGGTTCCCGTGTGGAGTTGCCAGTCCTCCCATCGGGCGCGTCCCCAGGTGGCGGATAGGGGAATGCCACTCAGATATGAGTGGTAGCGGGAAACCGTCGCGGACCAAAACTGGCTGGGTTTGGGGCGTACCTCTGGTTCCGAATGGAATCAAGTACCTGCTAGTTGCTTCCCGTATCCTCTCCACTGAGAGGAACAGAGGATGTGACATGCGCGGTGAGATGCCAGGTGCACTCGGCTTTTGCCGACGCCGGGCAACCTGTCATCGCGGGAATAGAATGGGCTCAGAGTTCCCTCACCCGGTCTCTGGGCAGGCATGGGAAGAACCCGTATCGACTCTGCCACTGTTCGAACCTCGGAATCCCTTTGGCGTGTCGTGGATCATGTCTCGCGGCGCCTGAGGGCCGAGGGCTCTTGGCTTAACCGCCTGGAGTCGCGAGGATGATAACCTCTATAAAAAATCACCCGAAGCTCAAGCGTGGCACGCCGTGAGGAGCTGCATGGCTGATGGGTAAATGTTCAGTCGTTAGCGTTGCCCCCCCGTCAGGGTACCGGCCGACACCCTTGACGGGTTATGCATAGGCTTATCCGGGCAAAGGGGGCCTCTGCTCGGACGGACCGTTACTTCCTCCACACTCGTGGGAAAAAAATGAATAAAACTTTAAAAAATGTAGATATAGGGAAAGAGGATGAATCAGACGTGGACAGATCGCGTGGGACGTCTTCCGCCAGGAAACGTCCAGTGTGCCGGTCTTCGGACGAGGAAGGCCTGCCAGCCCCCAAGTTGGCGACTTCGAGGAGGGGTCGGCAGGCATCGAGAGGGGTAAATGCTTCGCAGCCGCGAAGGGATAAGCACGGACGATTCGTGTGCTCCAATACCTCGGCGGCTAGTGAAGCAGAGAGTGACATGGGGGTCACTACGGAGGACCCTGGCGATGGCGGCGAAAGCTGTGCCTCGCTGGGGAGTTCAAAGGGGGAGCTCAACGCCGCCAAGAGGGAACAGCGCAAAGCCGTCGCAGCAGACGAAGTGTCTGAAATGGCCCGACGTGCTCGCGAACGACGAGCTGCTCTGGCGGCGGAAAAAGGAGAGCCATCTGCGGTGGCCTTGAGCCAGCTGGCTCTGGATGGGGTGGACTTAGTCCTGAAGGTTGCCACCAAGTCTGGCAGCCTGAAGGGCACGTTCACCCGTGGCTTAAAAAGAGGCTGCCGCGGACATCAGGGAGGCGGTTGGCATTCTCCTCAACAGGACGGCCTCTGACGAGGTCGCCAAACTACAGGAGGAAAATAGCCGCCTCAGAAATGATCTAGAGGACCTCCGGCAGCAAGTCGCGGCACTGAGCGAGCAGCAGCAGAGATGCACATCCACCGATGCCGCATCTGTAGTGGCCCCGACTCCCGCACCGCGACCGACAAGCCCTCGTACCGACGAAGAGGTCGAGCGCATTGTCCGGCTCTGCATGCTCCAGTGCGGGAGCATGGTTAACGCTCGGCTGGAGGCGATTTCTCGGCGTCTCCCGGCGGAAACCCTACGTCCGCCTTTGGCAGCTGACACGCGGAGAACTGAGGAGCCGCCGAGACTTGCGCCTCAAAAGGGGAAGCCCATGGAGGGTAAAATAAAGCCCGCGGAGGAGCTCCTCCGAGCGACCAGCCCACGACAGCCGGGTCTAAGGGTGAGACATGGGCGAAAGTCGTGGGCCGCAAGAAGGCCCGCAAAGCCGCCAAGAAGGCCGCAGCAGCTGCACATGCCCCAGGTGGAACCGCAAAGACGGCTCCTCAACCTGAGCGTCGGACTGCCAAAGGCGGTCGCAAGAAATCGGCTGTACGTGTTCCGCGGTCCAATGCGGTGACAATAACATTGCAGCCCGGAGCTGTGGAGCGTGGCGTGACGTACCAGTCGGTCATCGCTGAGGCCAAGGCCAAGATTAAATTATCAGATCTTGGCCTTCAGTCCGTCACCCTCAGGCAGGCTGCCACGGGTGCGCGGCTGTTTGAGGTGGCTGGCACTGTGAGCGACAGTGCCGAAAAGGCGGACGCATTGGCCGCCAAGATGAGAGAGGTCCTCAACCCTGAGGACGTCCGGGTCTCCAGACCAATGAAAACCGCAGAATTGCGGATTGCTGGCCTGGACGACTCCGTGACATCTGAGGAGGTGGTGGCGGCCGTTGCCAGAAGCGGAGAGTGTCCGCCGGACAAGGTGCGGGCCGGCGATATACGCACCGATGCCACCGGACTTGGCGCGGTCTGGGTTCGGTGCCCTGTAGCGGCGGCAAAGAAGGTTGCCGATAGCGGCAGATTGCTGGTAGGCTGGGTGGCGGCAAGGACGAAGCTGCTACAGCCCCGGGCTTTGCAGTGCTTCCGGTGCCTTGAAAAAGGGCACGTCCGGGCGAAGTGCACCGCCGAGGTTGACCGCAGTGACCTTTGTTACCGCTGCGGCCAGCCTCGCCACAAGGCGGCCCTGTGCACCGCGGCGTTCAACTGCAGCCTTTGCTCTGCTGCGGGAAGGCCAGCGGAGCACAGAGTAGGCGGAGGGGGCCTGTGGGGCGCCTACCAGCAAGTCCAAGGCCAAAAAAGAAGAGGAGCACCAAGCCTGCCGAGTTAACCTCGCTGCCCACACAGGCCAGTAGCTCCGCGGGCGACTCCCGGCCCAGGACCGTTGAGAAGGAAATGGAATGCCAATAATGGCAAAGTTCCATTTTCTCCAGGGGCAACATCAACCACTGTGCCAGAGCTCAGGATCTCCTACTCCAGAGCTTGGCAGAGTGGTCGATTCACGTGGCTGTGGTCGCCGAACCGTACTTCATTCCCGCCCGTGACAACTGGCTGGGATGCGCTGACGGTTTGGTGGCCATTATTGGCGAGACTCTGATCGAACCGTCTCGGGGCCGTGGCTGGGTTGCTGCGGTCTCGGGTGGTATCGTTATTGTGGGGGCGTATTTCTCCCCCAACAAGGAGTCTCGCCGACTTTGAGGGTTTCCTTGTCGAGTTGGGCGCCGTCGTAGGCCGCTATCACCCTCGTCCCGTTCTGGTGCTCGGGGATCTCAACGCAAAGTCATCAGCGTGGGGATCTCCGGTCACTGATCCTCGGGGCGAGGTGCTAGAAGAGTGGACAGTGACAACTGGTCTGGTCGTCCTGAATCGGGGTTCGGAATACACGTGCGTGCGGCAGCGGGGCGGGTCGATAGTGGACGTCTCGTTTGCCAGCCCCTCTGTCGCCAGCCGAGTCCGCGACTGGCGTGTCGCCGTAGGGGTGGAGACGTTGTCGGACCATCGATATATCCGGTTCGACGTCTCTGCCCAGACTGCGAGAGGCCGCCATCCAACTACCCCGATTAACGACGGTCCGCGTTGGGCGCTTAAGCGCATCGACAGGGAACTACTCGAGGAAGCTGCCTTAGTCCA